TCCTGCGATACTGGTAAAGGCCAAGAAACTTTTCTGCTGGTGAAGAGGCCAAAGGGCTGCTGGGATCCTTGACATTTAAGGCATGTAAGCGGGATGGGGGAAGGCTGTGTTGCAGCTGTAACAGGATCTGTTTTGGGGCTGGCTGCCAGTGCTGTGGACTCTGCCCCAGGCATCTGGATCCTACACCAGTGCAGGTAAACACTGGAGATGGCTGTGAGCCTGTTTGGGTGCTGCTCACTTCCCGCTCCGGCTTGCTGGGCAGCATGTTCCAGGAAGGGTTTGGAAGCCGACATGAAGGCTGAGATCAGAGCTGGGACAGGAGTCAGGAAAACCTAAAAATCGGGAGAAGAGCCTGTGTGGCCTGAGCCCAGCACCAAGCTCAACCTCTGGATGGCCTCAGCTGGCACCCTGAGCCTGGCAGCCGTCTCCTCCTGTCCTGTCTTACAGCCCATATTGATCCCCAAGGCTTGAACACCCAGCTGGGTTAGTGTTCCTCACCTGAGACCGCTCTATGCATACACCCTAATCATGGCACAGACCAGAAGGGACACGTTAGCATGAACTCTTCCATCGTGGTCTAAGGGTCTGGAGGGACAACTGTGCCAAGAAGTTTAGAGTGCGTCAGCTGTGGTAACGGCTGCAGGTCTGCGTTTAGTCTGTCTAAACAGGAGGGAAAATGTATTCACTTACATTACTTTCCCCCGAACGCCTATCGCTGCGTGTTTACAGCGAACCAGCAGTGTGGCAGAGCTGCAGCTGCAGTGGGGCAGGGGTGTCCATCCCGGTGCTTGTGAATCCTGCAGTGATTCATAGGGAAATTTCAGCCCCCCCCGGTTCAAGTGCGTCTCCACGATACCAGCATCAAGAGGGTTAACAGAGCTTTTTCTTAGTGTCAACCTTGTGGCTTTGGTGTTTGCTTCCTTTTAAAGCCAGACAATGTTCCTGTTGTGATCCTTATCTCTGCTGTTTTGCATGCACTCCTTTTAGGAGGATCTTGTCTAGGGTTTCCTTACTCCTTGAAAGCTGAGCTGTACTATTCCTTGTGAGGACTTGTTTTCTTCAGCTAATTAGTGAGCTGTGGATGAGCAGGCTAATGGCACGGCCCTCCCCTCTTTTCTAGTGGTCTGTAAGAAGAACTTGGACAGCACCACTGTTGCTGTGCACGGAGAGGAGATCTACTGCAAGTCCTGCTATGGCAAGAAGTACGGCCCCAAGGGCTATGGATACGGGCAGGGAGCAGGGACCCTGAGCACTGACAAGGGCGAGTCTCTGGGAATCAAATATGAAGAGTGAGTTTAAGTCTTTCTTTCGAAACTGGGGCTGTTGTGGGCACCTTCTCCCCCACACCCGTCTGCTCGTGATGCTTGGCTGTGTGGCCCATGCTGAACTTCCATCAGTATCTAATCTGGAGAATGCTGTGGGCTGCCCTGCCTTTCTGCTCCTCTGGGGAAACCCGCTGAACCTTGTTTGCAGGGTGGGATGGGGCTGGACAGGACGTGTCCCCATTGCCTGAGCATGCTGCCCATTCCCTCCGAGCATGCAGCCGTGAGGCTGAATTTTGCATGGGACTCAACACATTGTGCCTAAAGGTCTGGGCCCTTCAAAACTGGGTTGGCATTTGTGATCCCGTGGCTCTTCCCTCCTCCATCTTACTTATGCAGTCCTGCTCATGAACCCCCTCCCATCCACAGGGGCCAGCCCCACCGACCCACCAACCCTAATGCATCCAGAATGGCCCAGAAAGTCGGAGGTGCTGACGGGTGCCCTCGCTGTGGTCAAGCCGTGTATGCAGCCGAGAAGGTGATTGGAGCTGGAAAGGTAAGAAGGGGGATGGAGTGGATGGGGCACGCGCATGCCACAAGTTGCTGTGTGGCAGGGAGACCTTCAGAGAAGGTCTTGACCTGATCCACAGGCTGCTGTAGGCTGGGCTGCCAGTGCCTCCAGCTAGGGTTGGGCTTGGGGTCCGGTGGCCATGCTCACCTGGAAACCGGGCACCAAAAGGAGACCTTGACATGTCTGGAAACCAGGTTCTCCAGGCTGCATTGCTCTTACAGAGTTGTAGATGGGAGAGAAATACATTTTATACTAAATATTCAGAGCACTGCTCAGCAGAGGTCGCAGTGGACGTCCCTGCTGCTAGATGTGTGGGGAGGTTGAGCAGTGGCATGGGCCATGGCCACTGCCACCGCTACAGAACGAGTGCCATGTCCAGCAAGCGTCCTCCACCCTCTGCTGCAGGCTGGGATGCCGCAGCCCAAATTCAGGGCAGGGAGTGAATTCCAGCGGTCAGCGCTGCCCACAGGCAAGGCAAGGTGGTTGGAGGTATGGGCACGGAGTTGGTGCATCTCTCTTGGGCTGTTCTGCTGATGGACTGGGTCTCCTCAGGTGTAAAGGACCCTCTGCAACAGCCCTGGTACCTCCTACGTCAAGTTCATCACTTCACCAGGGTCCTTTGTGTCCTCAGCTGTGGCCTCGTCCTAGCCCAGCTCTGGGAAGCCTTCTGTAAGGCATGGGGACACCTTCTGCTCTGTGAGCCCTGAGACCCTGGGTGAGGTCCCTGCCGTGAAGCAACCTTCCCTCTGAGGTCAGGTACCTGTGCAGAGCTTACCAAGGCAGCTGGGTCAGGCTGCTTGGCTTTGTGCCTCAGGGGACGGGACAGCTGTGCTGGGAAAGCCTCACCGCCCCACTGGTGACGTTGGGTCACTCGCTGACCCCTGCTGTGCTCTGTCCTCCCTGGGGTTTCTGTGTTTGTCCTCTGTACCCAGAGCAAGCAAGGAGGCATCTAGTTGACAGAAAAAGGGCCTCCCAGCAGCATCGTACCCCAGCTGGCAGTGCAGGGATTTGTGATGGACACATTGACGGTCAGCCCAGGGTCAGAAGCCAAACTTACCCTTAAAATCATGATCTGAGCTTCCTGGTCGGCTTCTGGCCACAGTGTTTACGGGGAACCAAAGCTGGCAAAGCAATTATCTCAAGCAAACCCAGAGAGGATTCCAGAGCATGTATTTCATGTGCTAATGTTTGCTGAATGACTCCCTCTGCTACCTCCTCCTCTAGCCCCCTAATTTCACATTTTCTTCCAAAAAAGGTTTCATGTTTTCCTGAGTGTTTATTTAAATTCCTCTGTGAGCAGCTCTGGCTACTCTAGGTCTGCTCAAAGGCTGTGAGCTCATTTATCCCAGAGGACTCGTGGAGCCGTGGGGGGGGGGTGGTGTTATTTTTAAACCCTGGCTGATTTCTGCATTCTTAGTATCTGTTTGCTGCCTTCCTTGGAGCTGTAGCTGTGTAGGGGCCGGTGTCCCAATCCTGCTGCCACCCCCAAGGCTAATGTACAGCAGCAGTGGATCTCAGCGGGATAACTCGGGGGATTTGTCATGCTGCTTGAGAGAGGACCATCTCCAAAGAGGGGGGTGATTGCTCCTTACAAATTATCATACAAATTATTGCTCAAGTGACTTCCGTGGGTGGAGGTGAAAGCTTCTTGAAACCAGATCAACCTGGGAGCAGTGACCACACCTGATGTTTCCTCTCTATATCTTCCCCCCCTGGGTTGGGAGGACTGCTCTTTCCAGAGAACAGTTTTCATCCCCTTCAGACCTCTTTGCCAGCCACTTTGGGTCAGAAACAGAAAAGTGCCCCCATTTGGTAGCCAAAGCATTGCTGCCCTGTGCCCAGGTGTGCTCTGACCGGGCTCTGCTCCTCTCCCGCAGTCCTGGCACAAGTCCTGCTTCCGCTGTGCCAAGTGTGGCAAAAGCCTGGAGTCCACCACCCTGGCAGACAAAGACGGGGAGATCTACTGCAAAGGTGAGTGCCACCTTCCCCGCTGGCTTGCTCTGGGCTCCGAAGGGTGGAGGCAGGGAGTGAAAACCCCTGTGCGGGACACCGGGATGGGACTGAGGTTTGTGGAGGTGGTGGCCCCAGCTGCCTGGCTGTGGACTCAGGGGATTTCCCGCTGTGCCTGGGGCCTCTTTGCCCAACAACTGTGGCAAACCCTGTCCTGTGGTGCCTGCTTCAAGAGGAGGACCTGCTCGTCTTCAGCCGCTGGCCTTACCTGTCTCTCCCTTCCCGTCTTCTGCAGGGTGCTACGCCAAGAACTTTGGTCCCAAGGGGTTTGGCTTTGGGCAAGGCGCCGGGGCGCTCGTCCACTCGCAGTGAGGCACCAGGAGCTGGGCTCTCCGCTCGCTCGGGGCTTGTCCGTACCAGCCTGAACTGCCCGACGCTTCCTGCCCCCGCAGTGAGCATCCTCACCGTCATCAATAACCACCCGCTGCTTCACAGCACAAGCCCCTTCCTCCCCGCCCTGACCCAGTGCACCCCGAAGCTGTGGGATTCCCAGCATCAGGTCCTGCTGGTGCGGGTGCCGGCGGGGAGACAGCTCGCACCCACCTGCAGCGAGGCCCGTGCGTTCTGCTCCGCGTTGCCCATCCCGCGGGGATGTGTGCTCAGCTGCGCCATGCCATGTCACCGAGCAAGCAATAAACGTCGAAGCTGACCCATGCCTGGCCTTGCTGGAGAGTTTATTCCCTGTCTGGGTCTGAGGAGGTGCACTGGGTGACCAGAACTGGAGGTCAGGAGGTAGAGGGAAGATGGGAAATGTTTGCAGTCGTGGGTTGCAATTAAAACACGAAGGCAGGAACTGCTCGGTGCAATTTGACATGGCCCAGCTGTGGCCAGCTGAGCCCTGCGTGTCGGCTGGGCCTGGCTCTCCCCCTGCTCCCACAGTGGATAACCATTTCAAAAGCAGCGGTTGATACTGGGAGGCTCAGGACAGACCTTCTTGGGTGTGTCGGTAGCACAACACGTGTGCACACCCTATCGAAACCCCTATCAGTGTTCTTACGTGGCGCCTCTCCAAACAGGCGTGCCCAGCAGTGCTGAATAATTAACAACTTTTCACCTACACCCTGGATTTTTAGCAGCACTGTGGATCATTAAGCCGCCAGTTTGGCAGCTTCTCAGATTTAATTTGTTTTCATCTAAATTCTTCACTTTCTTTCCGTGATTCGGTTGTTTGACCGGTGTGACGTACCCACAAGATCAGCCTCGCTGCAGCTTAGAGTTATGAACTCCACAGGGAATTTAGTTGGTTTTTTTTTTTTTTTAAGTTATAAACATTGTGGTTGAGTAAATGAAATCGCTAGTGTTTTGAGAAGCACAACAGAGGCAGAAATCCTTTTATGGGGGAGGACTTGGGCTCCTTTATCAACTTAAACACTTTCTGCCATTCATCACACCCTTGGTTTTTACACGATGCTTTTGAAGCTGAGATGGGGAGTAAGCTCTTTAAATGTCTCCAAAAATCCCCCTGCCCCAGGTTTCCCAGCCTGGGACCCAAATTCTAGCTGGTCCCATTGCTCTGGGGTGTGTGGTTGTGGTTTGGTGAGGCGATAGAAGATGGCACTTGGTGTGTGGGGCAGACAGCCCAGGCTCAGGGATGCGATAGTGGGTCAGGAGCTGGAGCGCAGCGGGCTCACATATCACCCTTGGTGTGGAGACCGAAACCTGGCTCCCTCGTTTGGCAGAGGCCTTGCCCCCCCCCAGAGGTGTGGGGCGTTAGGAAGCTGCCTGCTTTCTCCGTGAGCGTGCGGTGGATGCTGTGCTGCTGCGGGATTTCAGCTGGATGTGCCACAGGCAGGGACTGTGCCCAAGCAACTCTGTTTAGTCAACAAAGCTAGAACAAGCCTTTCTTTAGTCTCCTTCTTCCCATAGTTGTAGAGGTTGTGTCAGAGAGAGGAGAGGTACTGACGTATCACAAGTGTGATGGACCCCATAGAGGCCATTTGCTCCTGGAGGCCTGGTCAAGGGTTTCACGGGGTGACAGAAAGGCGTAGGGTGGAAGGGGCCTGCAGAGGTCTTGAGCCCAACCTCCTGCTTAAGGCAGGGCTAGCTGCAAAGGTCAGGTTGATCAGAGCCTCTCAAGTTCAGTCAGGTTTGGAAACTAAGGATGGAGGTCACACACTATGGGTCTTGTCACAGCGTTGCACCACACACCCAGAGAAGGTTATTTTCCCCATGTTCATCAGAGTTTCCCTTGTGGCACCTGGATCCATTGTCTCTTGTCCTTTTGCCATGCACTGCCCTGTCTCCTTTCTCTGCAACCCTTCTTTAGGCAGTGAAAATCTGAATTTCGTTCTCCCCAAGCCCTCTCTTCTCCAGGCTGGTGAGTTTCTGCTGAGTTTTCAGCCCCAAAGGTCCCAGGTGACAGCATGGGCATTGTCCTCGGGCAAGGATCTTGCCCTGAGAGTTTGCAGTTGGTGCTGCATGCCTGCTGAAGTTGCACCATTGAAGTAGTTCACCTGAGGATGGCTTGGAGAGTGACAGAGACCAACATCCACAGTGTTAGCAGAGGCTGTTGGCACGGGAAGACCAGGACAGGCATGGCTGGGGGTGCACATCCAGACAGAGGACGTGAGGTGGGCTCAAGGAGGTGGTGGGGGAAGGCCCAGGAGAAGCTGGGTGGGATTAGAGGTGCTTTTTGGGCATCCTCTTGCCCAAAGTTCATCTAGATGGTTGTGACCATCTGCTACCCTCTGCTGGTTACTGCTCCCCGTGCGTGGGCACAGTGCGGCACTGGTCAGCTGGACGTGTCTGGACACCTGCACCCAAGTGTTGTCCAACTCCCTTTAGAGGCAGCAGAGCCGCATTGCACCCAGCAGCACCCATCCCTCCCTGCTGCCAGCACAGGGGGCTGCCAGCCCTTGGAAAAGGGGCTGTGGGACCCAAACCTGCCTCCAAAGAAACGGCCCACAAGCGGTCAGCTTGAGGCCAAGTACCCTGGAGGCTGCTGGAGATGGTACCGCTCTAAGGGGTCGAACTGGAGCCGTCCGAGCCTCACGGCCGGGGGGATCTTGTGGCAGGGGATGCCACACTGCCTCCTCCCCGTCCCAGCCGTGAGTGCTTTGTGGGGATGTCACCCCAGCGGCTGCTGAGCCATCCCGGGGCAGGACTTCTCCCCAGCTGAGCCCCCATTACCTGCCCGTGAGGGCTCTATGTGGACGGGAGATGCGTGGGGACCGCGGGCAGCCCCGCGGAGCGGAGCCTTTTGCTCGCCGGCAGCCTGGTGCGGTGAGTCCTGCTGGGTTTGCTGGAGGGCAGGAGCTGCAGCGTCGGCCTCCCGGGCAGCCCGGCAGGACCAGCCTCCCGCCCTGCGGGTCTGGGAACGGGCAGCTGGGGAGAGAGGAGCGGAGAAAGACCTTGTCAAAGCTCCTTTACATCCGCGGCTGTGGGAAAATGACCTTCCCTTGACGGCTGGACCCTGAAGAGGCAGTGAGCAGTGGAGCTGGGGTCTCGGAGAAAGGGGTTGGCAGCCCTTGGCTGGCTGGTAAACCGAGTGCCCATGGACATCCCAGCTCCCCGGAGCTGAGTCAGGAGCGACAGTCCTGAAAATACTCACCCCCAAATTTCCAGGGCTCAGCATCCCTGGAGCTGAGCTTTACCTGTGCGTGGGAAAACAGCCTTGGATGCTCCTTTGGGAAGGGAACCCACACATCTGCTCTGCTCCTCCCAAAAGTGCTGGGGTGCTCCGGGTGACCTCCGGGGCTGCGCTGGCCCCCCCCGGCTGTGCCTGGCCATGCTGCCTTTGGCTGCGGGGGGGTGAGGGCCGCAGGGGAGCCGGGGCCGCCTGACGTCACGAACCTGGGTCTCCTGGGACACCCGGGATCTCTGCCAGCGTGGTGAGGTTGGCCCCGGGGAGCACGAACCAGTTCCTGGCTCCAGCAGCTGCTGCCCTGCCCTCTTAATGAGGGATAATTAGGTGCATCTCATCGGTGCTGCAGACTTGCCCCCCGGTCACACCAGCTGCAGGCAATGTCCTCGGTGGGGACCGGGGACGATGGAGGGGTTGGGGCAAGAGGGGCTCTGGCTCAGGGGTGCCGGGGCATTGGGGTCTGCAGGGGCACGAACAAGGTGATTCAGGTGGGGAGCACCGAGGCAGCGGCTGTGTGCCAGGGAGCCGAGGGCTGACCTGACGCGTCCCCAGGAGGGACTTTTTCCCCTTCTAGAGCTCAGCTGGGCAAAGGGACCCACAGCCTCAGAATCTCTGGGGGCACATCCAGCTGCCCAGCAGGCTGTGACCATCACCCTTTTGGCAGCCCATGGCCAGCACAAAGGCCCCAGATGTCCCCGCTGGCAGCCCAGCAGGGCACGGTGAACCCCTCTGTGCCAGCTGCTGGCACAGGAACAGACGGATCTGCGGTGGCCAGGAATGAGACGGTGGCCGGGAACGAGACGGGCTGGAAAGCAGACGGGTGTTTTGCTGCAGGGAAGGGTGGACTCAGGTGGCACTAGGCTGTGCTGTGCTGCCCTGGTCCTGCTCTGGGGGTGCGTCCCCCCCTGCACAGGTCACATGAGGATGGGGGATGCTCATCCTCACTGTTGGACAGGCTGGGGACTTCAAATCCTTGTCCCAGGGGATTTGGGGGACAGGAACTTTGTGTGCTGAGGGCTGGGCCAGCACCCTTGGGTGCAGGGCTGGGTGGGTGGTGGGTGCCAAGGGCTGTGCCCATTGCCGGGCAGCCCTGCACAGCCATCTCAGAGCGGTGACACCAGGCACCTCCTGTCTGCGTGTGTTCCCCCTGCTCGGCCTCCACCCAGGGATTTTTTTCTGCTTGGCTAGTGCTGCACCCACAACGCCCTACCCCTAGTGGCACTGCACCCCATAACCCCCTGCCCTGGGTGGCACTGAACCCCACAGCCCCCTGCCCCAGCTGGCACTACACCCCATAGCCCCACCTGCAAGTGAGACTGCACCCTATAAACCCGTGCCTGGCTGGCGCTGCACCCCCCCAGCCCCCTGTCCCCATCAGCACTGCACCCTGTAGCCCTGTGCCAGCTGGCACTGCGACCCCCAACAGCTGGCACTGCGACCCCCAACAACTGGCATTGCACCCCGTGCCCAGGCTGCTGTGCAGAAGTCTCCAAGCCCTGCCGTGGCACCCCTGCCATGCAGACCCATGCCCACACCCTGCCTGTTCACACGAGGACCCCGGGGGCAGCGCCTGCCCACGGGCACCTCGAAAGTGCCTCCCGGGTGAAGCGGGGCTGTGCCGGGCCTGGCCGGGCTTCGCCTGGGCGTGAAGGGTGCCTGCACGGCAGGAGGGGCCAGGCGAGGCGGGGAGGAATGCGAGTGGGAGAGCGGCCGGGCATGTAGCGACAGCTCCTGGGGCGTGCAGCGCTGGGGATCCCACACGCTGCACAGGGCAGGGAGCAGAGCCCCGGGAACTGGGCTGGAGGCCGGCATGGGGCACCCCATCGCTCACCCGCTCTGAGAGCCAGGGAGCGCAGGGCGGCCAGTCCCCCAGGGGCAACACGGCTGCTGTGGGGGTCCTGGCTCCGGG